TTTTTATTCCTCTGCTTCCATCCCATCCCTGTCACAGAAAAAAGCAAAGGACATCTCTTTACGCCAAAAAAAATCTCATCGATCAGGAATCTTTTCCAAAAATCTTTCCACGAACGATAAAATTTCATCCCTTAAAAAAATCGGCGAGAAAGCACAGGATGAATCCACATTGGTCAATTATAATCGATTATCACCCGAGTATCCGTGTCCCAAGGAGGAACCACACGGTGAAAGATGGTTACTTACGGTCCATGAATATCCATGGGGCCCGGGGAGCAAATCGCGTGGCTGGCGTGCTCTGATGATAGGTAACCATGTGTAATGGAGTGCTAACTACCGGCCACCTCGCGAACCAGCGCACACCTTCTTCTTCTTCTTCTTCTTCTTCTTCTTCTTCTTCTTCTTCTTCTTCTTCTTCTTCTTCTTCTTCTTCTTCCTCCTCTTCTTCTTCTTCATCGTCCTCCAGTTAGCGGGGAGGCAAAACGCCGATGCAAGAAAGGGAGGAACGTTGGCAAAGAACCTGCTGGCCAAACAGGAGGAGGGGAAGGTAAAGTAAAAGGGTACAGAGGGAGGAAAGAGGGCGAGGGAAAGAAGGAGATAGGAGAAACCAGGCATGCTTGGGTCTCTTAGTTTCTCAAACAAGGGGGCGGTACCTTGCAGATCAGTGGCAGTCAACTACTTGCTGTAAGACACTGTTACCCCTTCGAATTTTCTAATACCGTATTAGAAAATTAAATTAGAAATCAAAAGTTATTAGAACATCTTGTATATATCTTGCGACAAGAAGAGTGTCAACATCGAGTGTTTAAATAAATATTCATTGTAATAATAGTTATATATAACTTAGTGTTTAACTTAGTGTTCCCTAGATAATGTAACAAAAATTCCCTATACTATAACGTATATGTGAAACAATATCAAAACACGTGAGATTCTACGATCGATTACTGTTTCCTTGGGATCCAGGAAACGGAAATAAATGAATGAAATTATCGAATTACGCAAAAAAATTTCCATTTTTAACGAAAAATTCGAAATCACTTTTATCAATGCGTAATCAGGCCTCGCGACTTTGTTCAATTAAGATCCTATCTTATCCTATTCGCGATTCCAAACTACGCGAGATATATATTCAATAACGTATTCCACGGTGAAATTTTCGCAGGTGAAACGAGCTATACGGCCGTTGAATATTAACGTTGTTCGGGACGATTCGACTTGGTTCAACGCTTGTAAAGCAAACGTCTAAAACGCATCCGATAGGCAATATTACACGGAGATTAATAGATCGGCATTACAAAGTAATTAGCCGGCAATTAAGGATCGCCGGTGCCCCGTGGCCGAGGGCATTAATTGCCCGGGCGTAATGATACGTTCGCTCCAATAAGAGAAGATGGACGAACCCAGGCGACGAACGCGGTTGGAGAGAACGGATTCCTGAATGTTCACGAGATGATTTTTACCCCTCTCTTTCGACCACGAAGAAATTGCCAGGGGAGGGGGAGAAAAAACGAAACTTTGGCTTTTGTACACTCCCATCCGTAAGTATGTGGACACTGTAATTGTTATGCAAATGTTATTAATGAACAATTTGTAATTCTTAACGATGTATTTAATATCTTGTTGATTAATCGATTTTTGTTTTATTGACATTGTGAATTTTGGATATGAATTCTGATTTATCCGTTAAATACAAATTTTTTATCACAAATATTATTAGATACATTATTAGAGTGTATAATGTTCATAAATCACAAGGATATTTGCTAATTTTGAAAAAATGTTTATCGATTTTTGATCAAATTTTCCTAAAATTTTGTAATAAGTAAGCCAAGTAAGATTTATTTGAAAAATAAAACAATAACAAGTAGATCAATTAAAAAATAAGAAATCGTTGAACACGAATGAAAGAGAATTGGTAAAATTTTGTTTGAAAGAGAACTAATAAGGGGCAAAAATCAAACGGAACGTATATCACAACGATAAATTATCGACACATAGCACTTACGGTACTGTAAAGTAACCGCGTGAAAGTAAGAAACCGGGCGGGTTGCTCGACGCCAGGCGTCTAAAATTCATACTTTCGAACCGCCGCTTATCTGAAAAACGAAGCAATTTCGTGCACAAGTTTATTAGACAAAAATTCTTCCCCTATCATTTTCCGCTCCCTTAAAAATCACACCTTGCACACAAACAAAACTATGAATACGAATTATCACCTAACACAACAAAACCCTTCGAAATATACATATCCCTGCATATCGATGGAAATTAATCGATGAATCATATTCTCTTGGCGAGGAAAAAAGAAGGAAGAAAGTAAATCGCGGGTAT